ATATATATATATATATATATATATATATATATAGCAAAGGAAATAAATCCGTTGATGGATCCTAGTAATATAAATTATTAAAATTAATCTACAAAAAGAGCTCAGTATATTTATTATTACAGAGCAAATAATTAGCGCATAATGAAATCCCAAATTACCTCATATTGGGAAAAATCTCTGGGCACCACGAGGTGGTGTAATGGTTAACAAGTTTGTCTTGCTCGAACAATTACGACTGAGTAGTGATTTCGATCCTCACTGGGTGCCACATACTTTCGGCCTTGTGCCACATCTAAATCACTATAGGGAATAGTCTTATTTCAACCGACGAAATTCGTCAGTCTTATTTAACCCCGGCATAGACTGAGTTCGTTCGTGTCGGAATACTGTGGTTGAATAATACTGACGAATTTCGTCGTTTAAATAAGCCTATTTCCCTATTAAATATTTCTATCTATAAAAAGAACGTATAGACATAAAATATGTCTTAAAATAATTGTCCGACTTTTTCCATTACATAATGTGTGACGTCATTTGTTTATATTTGGATACGCATCGAGCAGATATGAATGTACGAGAGAAAATCACGGAGAATTGTAGTTTAAAAACAGTCAAATCGACCTTGCTAACCGAAATGCTCCTCTGTCGATAAAGCACGTCAGGGTATATGACGGTTACGTATAGGATACAGGTTCAATTCGGACGCATATTTTCTATGAAAATTTCTCGGACATTCAGGCCTGTAAATGTCGTTAATAATGTTTATTATAAACAGAGAATTTACTTAAATATTTGTATCTATAAAAAGAACGTAGAAACATAAAAATGTCTTAAAGTAATTGTCGGACTTTGTCCATTTCATAATATATATATATATATATATATGTATGTATACATATGTATGTATACAAGTTGGATAAGTCTTGTTCTTATGTACATCGTTTTTGTCATGCTGAATTGATTATGTTAATTATATTTTATGAATATGTCCTGAAGATGGTTTATTAGATCGAAACGTCCGACGTTGACATATTAACATTAAAACAGCATAATTGTATATAAGGATTTTTGTTTGTTTTTTTTTATTTTTCTTCATATATATTATATATATATATATATATATATATATATATATATATATATATATATTAAGACATTTTTACGTTTATAGATTCTTTTTTATAGATACAAATATTTAAGCCAATGCTCTGTTCATAATAAACAGTATTAACAAGATTTACCGGCCTGAATGTCAGAGAAATTGTCATGAAATATTGTTAATTCTGTTTATTATAAAACAGAGCATTTACTTAAATATTTGTATCTATTAAAAGAATGTATAAACATAAAAAAATGTCTTAAAATAATTGTCCGTCTTCGGCCATTTAATGTGTGACGTCATTTGTTTACATTTGGATACGCTTTGAGCAGATATGAATGTACGCGAGAAAATCATGGAAGATTGTAGTTTAAAAACAGTACAGTCGACCTTGCTGACCGAAACGCTCCTCTGTGGCGAAATCGGTAAAATCACGTCAGGCTATATGACGGTTCCGTATAGGATACAGGTTCGATACCTGTCGGAGGACGCATATTTTCTATGACAATTTCTCGGACATTCAGATTGGTAAATGTTGTTAATACTGTTTATATATAAACTCGTGTAACGGGAAAATTGTCGAAAATGCGTAACACCAGTTGTTAGATTAAGATATGAACAGTTGTATCTTAAAAATTCTTAGTGGAATCCTCCGAGATTTTTATAATAATATTGAATCGTAGTTAAGATCAGAAGCTCATGAAGGGCTGAAATTATGTTCAAATATATACATATGTGGCACCATTTACCGAGGCAGAAAAAGAAAAGAAAGAAAAGAAGGAAAAAAAAGAGGCGAGACCCAAAACGTGGATGATAAGCAGAACACCACGGCTAAGAGACAATGGTTAAAGGATATTTTGATAAGTAACAAATGGCGAAAGAGTGTCATTACAATGACAGGGAATTTCTGAGTGGATAAAGGAATCGGGTGTGTTTTGGCGACGGCTGTGTTATCTGGGATGCGTAAACAAACTGCTGGCCAAAGAAAAATCCAAATGAAAATGTTATTTCGATAAGTGACGGAAAACAGGTGGACAAAAGGGCTTTGGATAGATATGAAAAATTTGTGTCAAAAGCCGCACACGATTTGTCCACTGACCGATTTCTTTCGACGGAACATCTTTAGCCTGCGATAATAAAATTATGTTATCAGAAATATGTACCGAAAGGAAATGAATGGGAATTTAGAAATGTTCTTTTCGGGGCGACGTCTGGTCGTGTTAGAAAGACCACCCATTCTGATAATTAGCGATAAGATGACTGACGAATCCCAGGTGTAGAACAAGAGTTATGACCACCGTCGTTTGCGGCTAGAGAAAATGATAACTCCGATTAAGAGGAAGAAAAGGAAAAGAAAAGATAATTTTTTTTTTAGTTAAGCAAGATATTTTTTTTTCCTGAAACAAAGCTGCGGATTCGTCCACGCCCGACTAGGACACCATTGGTCGAGTGGTGATCACGTGACGCACGAAGGAGGCTGTCGCCGCCCATCCAGAGGATAGGTATGAGAAGCTGCTACGAAGAAGTGGGGAGGGCAGCTCACGCCCCTGTGAAGTATGGTGAGAAGGTGGGAGTAAGAAAAGGCTCCCAAAAATGGAAAAGACTGGAAAATTCCTAACCAGAAATAAAAGAGGTGAATATGTATTTAGAATTATCGAGGAACCCCCGACGCCGACAAACCCACCCCATTTTTGGTCGGCGTCCATATAAGCGAACCGCAGCAAGCAGAAATCAGTTGAGTTCAGTTCAGCAGAGTGGAGTTGCAGCAGAGAGTTCGAAGCTCGCAGTGGAAGTTGGTTCCGCCTCGCAGATAGCTGACTTGAAAGATTCACGCACATTCCGGACTCCTCTTCAATCCAAGAACAATTATTTTGAAGAGCGACTTAGATCCAGACCACCAAAATAAGTTTTTTTCGACTTTCGTCCGAAGACACACCGAAAAACCAATTTCTTAAAGAGCAAACAACTTGAAGCGTTAAAACTCGCCTAACGGAAAACAACGTGTCACAATCCATAGAACGGGTCGGGAGATAGACGCGGTCCTATGTATCGAACAACTAGACATAAAGTTTGTTATCTTTTTCTTTGTTACTTTGAACTTTTGAGTTTTCATTTTATTTTCTTTTATGCATATTTGTGTGGTGTCACCCCCGTTGAACCCGATTTGCATTACGGCCCCAACTACTGATTGATCACGTCTGCCTAAGATCAATTCACAACGTGGGTAGGCAGACTGGAGATCAATGCAGTTACTTTGGTAACCAGGCGTTGGAAGCGAGTTGGGAACGACGAGGCTGATATCAAATCTAACCAGATTCCCACCCGAATCACCAAAAGGTTAGAACGTCACATTTGGGTGCCGCGACCGATACCAAGCCAGTTGGTCGTCACATGACGAGGCAACACGACTGACGCGACTGGCGGACGTCACGTTTGGGGCGGCGATACCCGAACGGAGCAGCGAGGAGCGAACTGCTGGCGCCGCGGCGAGGACGCCACAGTTGGTGCCGTGGTAGACCAGGATAGGACGTCACATTTGGCGCTGCGACCAGGGGACGACGTCACACATATATTGTTCTAGGACCATTTTCCAAGATGATCTTCGCCTTCTCTAAACTTTTAACTCTCTGTCCTGGAGTAACAAGATGTCTTAACAGGCTTTACGTACGATTTCATTTTCAAGTCTTTGAACTGTCATAGCTGAAACTCCTCTGTCACATGTCAAATGCTATATGGATTGAGTTGGATCTTCTCTAATTGATCTTTTAGCTCTAATTTGAAATGATGATTCCTGTTTTGACCATATGATCCTGTTTTCCTCTCTACTCTTCTCTATTTTTTTTTAAACTTATTCACCCTTCTTTTGATGCATCTTGAATGGACTTTGAAAATGGAGTCTGAATTTTGGTAGCGTTACTGAAGGTTTGAATTATCTTTTTCGTCTCACCATTGTTCAGTTGGTAAGGCAGTGAGTCTGACGCAAAACAATTTTAACCTGTTTTCCTTTCAGCTGAATAACTCAAAGGGTTTCTCAGTGATTCATACGACAAATAGTGTCAAGATGGCTAAACATCTTATACGAAAACCAGCAAAAAGAAACTCAATTAGTTTAGTAGCATTTTAAATATTAATTTTTTTTCCCAATAATTATGCTGTTACAGGACTTATTTAATTTTGCGGTTACACACACACACACACACACACACACACACACACACACACACATATATATATATATATATATATATATATATATATATATATATATATATGTAATTTATAGGTACGCTATTCTAATGGGTAAGAGTGAGCAATATGAGAAATAGTGCATTGCGTGCATATAAACGTGGGCATTGAAGCCAGCACCGAGAGGCAACAGTCCCTTTCATGCTTTAAAGCAGTCTTCAGGCCATGTGTTTTGCCTGGTGACCTGACTATATAAATATATATATATATATATATATATAAATATGCTGACCAATGGAACATTACGAATAGTACGGTCAGTTATTTCCGGTTTATTTTATCATCTTTCCAGCTTTAATCTTTCCCGCCACCTTTGACCTTAAAATATTTAAACGTAATGTCAATCATTATCTGCAATCTTCCTAACGCATTTTCTCCATGATGTTTCCCTTTTTTTTCTTCTTCCTACGCACTCAGTAACCTTTAGTGCCTTCCATAGAATGAAATGATTGAAATAAAAATTCGGATAGCGCGTATATGCCATTGTGAAACAAAACTAGTATTCCAATCTTTGTTCACTTAAATAACGACACTGTGATGTAAGGTGGTACTGACAATGTTTTAGGACTGCCTCGATTCTATCTATCAGTCTATCTATCTCTCTATCGATCTTACTCCTAACATCGATATATCTATCCTGCTATCTTACGCTTAGCATCTATCTATCTCTCTATCTCACTCTTCACATCTATATATCTTACTCTTCACGTCTATCTATCTATCTATCTATCTATCTATCTATCTATCCATCTATCTATTTATCTAACTCTTCACATCTATCTATATATCTATGTTACTCTTAACACCTATCTAGTTATCATACACTTAGCAGCCAACTATCTCCCTCTTCATAGCTATCTTACTCTTCACGTCTATCTATCTACCTATCTTAATCTTAACATCTATATATCTATCTACCTATCTTACTCTTAGCATCTATCTATCTATCTATCTCACTCTTCACATCTATCAATCTTACCCCTCACATCTATCTATCTATCTATCTATCTATCTATCTATCTCTTAACATCTATATACCTATCTAGCTAAGAGAACTCTTAGCATCTATCTATCTATCTATCTATCTATCTATCTATCTATCTATCTATCTCACTCTTCCCATCTATCTATCTATCTATCTATCTATCTATCTATCTATCTATCTATCTATCTATCTATCTCTTAACATCTATATATCTATCTAGCTATCTTATCTTAGCATCTATCTATCTATCTATCTATCTATCTATCTATCTATCTATCTATCTATCTATCTCACTCTTCCCATCTATCTATCTCTCCCTCTCCTTCTATCTATCTATCTATCTATCTATCTATCTATCTATCTATCTTACTCTAACATCTATATATCTATCTTACTCTAACATCTATATATCTATCTAGCTAACTTACTCTTAGCATCTATCTATCTATCTATCTATCTATCTATCTATCTATCTATCTATCTATCTATCTATCTATCTATCTCACTCTTCACATCTCTCTATCTTACCCTTCACATCTATCTATCTATCTATCTATCTATCTATCTATCTATCTATCTATCTATCTATCTATCTATCTATCTATCTATCTATCTATCTATCTATCTATCTATCTATCTGTTTCTTCACATCTATCTACCTTACCCTTCACATCTATCTATCTATCTATCTATCTATCTATCTATCTATCTATCTATGTTTATATTCTTCTCTTTCTATATTTTTATTCCGTTTTAGTTCTTCGACGATACTTCTATCCTTTATTCCTGGAATATATGTAAGGACGTTTTCTGCTATTTTTTTTTACCTCAATTCTAATTGTGGTTGTCTCCTTAATTTAATTCCGCCTTACTACCGTCACCGAATTCATTGCATCTTTCTTTTAAGGGAACCATGTCATAGAACCATGTCATAGAATAGAACTTAGGAAGTCGGTCTCAGGGACGTACTGTGATTTCGTGTCTTGCCTTGTGTCAGACTGAGTTTCAACCGAGTAATGTTCTATTTCTTCAATTAATTTTCTTTTTGTTTCTTGTTAGTTCCATATCCATGGCTCATTCTTTTTGTTTTTGGTTTTTGTTTCGTTTCCTTTTTTTTTTTTTTTTTTGGTGTGTCTTCGTATCTCGGCTGTGCATTTTAATTCTAGGCCCCGAGCAATTGCAAAGTTATTTTTAAGATTCAATTCTTTCAATCCGTGCGGGATTTCACGCAAAATCTAACAATTTCTCTGTTTGATTTTTTAAACACTTTGTCGCAAGCATTTTGCCCGTCAGCCAAACAAAACACCGTCTTAAGTAACCGGAAGGCGCGAAATTTTCCTTTTCTCACCACCCGTTTGTATTTCCTCTTCTAATACGACTTTGTCTTCACAGTCATATCGTCATCTGCTCACCCTCTGCGCCTTCCAACTCCCTCTTTCTTTTTCCCTTCTTGCTTTCTTTCTTTTCTTTCTTTCTTTCTTTCTTTCTTTCTTTCTTTCTTTCTTTCTTGTGACATTCTTCTTCGTCGGTTTTCGACTTGCTTTTTATTTTACTTCTTTCACACTGTGAATGTTTGAGGTTTCTACATTACGTGTCTCGTTCCCACTCTCTCTGTTTTCATCGTCTTCACTCCGCCCTCTCTCTCTCTCCCACCCTCTCTCTCTCTCTCTCTCTCTCTCTCTCTATCTATCTATCTATTTTAGTTCTCTTTTACTTCTTTTTCTCTCTGGGTTAAGCGCTTTATTAAATTATTTTTATTTTCCTCATTTGAAGTTTTCTACCTTATTCATTTCCCTTCGTCGCTTTTTCTATCTATCTATCTATCTATCTATCTATCTATCTATCTATCTATCTATCTATCTATCTATATAATCCTCTTCTTATCTATCTCTGTATCTATCTCTCTAATCCTCTTATCTATCTATCTATCTATCTATCTATCTATCTATCTATCTATCTATCTATATAATCCTCTTCATATCTATCTATATAATCCTCTTCATATCTATCTCTATATCTATCTATCTAATCCTCTTCATATCTATCTATCTATCTATCTATCTATCTATCTATCTATATATATATATATCTGCACACATACACACAAATAAACGCAAACGTACACAGATATAGAGATAGATAAATATGGACATAGGAATCAATAGTGTTTGTTGGTTTCATCCTCAAGCCTGACCTTTGCGATGAAGCATAATCAGAAAACCCCTACAAGCAGGAAAAATGAGGTGTCGATTCCTAGGCCCACGCTGCCTATAACTGCAAATGCTCTATCTCCGATATATAGAAAAATGTAAACAATACAAACGCACACATACATATATACACCCAAATATATACACACACACAGACACATGCAAACACACACTAACACACACACACATATATATGTTAAAAATATAGTTTTAAGGTATGCTATATTCATGGGTTAAAATACTCACTATAATTGATGGATCGTATGTAAAATTAAAAGTGGGCATTGAGTTTAAATTTTAAAGCTATGACTTTATATATATATATATATATATATATATATACACGTTATTTTTATAGTTACAAATATTTAGGTAAATGGTCTGTTCATAATAAACTGTTTTAGTAAAATTTGCCTCCCTGAATGCCCGAGAAATCTCAAAGAATATCTGTGTCCGCTGACAGGAATCGAACTACAACCCTACACGTAACCGTCATATAGACTGACATGCTACGCCATTTAGCTACAGAGGAAGTGGCTAGTTAACAAAGATAAATTACTGCTTTTAAACTACAAATTCCTCTGTAGCTAAATGGGATAGCACGTCAGGCTATATGGCGCTTCCGTGTAGGATACAGGTTCGATTCCTTTCAGAGGACATATATTTTCTTTGAGATTTCTTGGATATTCAGGTCGGTAAAGTTGTTAATACAGTTTATTGTAAACAGACTGTTCACTTAAATATTTTTATGTACAGAAATAACGTATAGACAAAAATATATTAAAATAATTGCCGACTGTAACTCCAACGGCAAACAACAGTGGCCCCAACTCTCTCCAAATCCAACTCCAACTCCTCCGACTGGCTGGCCCCAACTCCAACTCCAACGGTAAATAACCCTAAAACTAACTCCAACTAAAGGGCCCCATGTAACTTTGGCCCACGTGTGCACTTGTATTTATGGGTGTCCCTTTCAACTGGTGTAATGCGGGCGAATAGGTGGGTTTTATGCAAATCTCCCAAAATTCAACCAGTCGTTTTCTTTCGTTTTCTATTTCACATTTTTAATTTTGGAAGATCTTGTCAGCCTTTCTGACGTCATTTCCTGCCTTTATTCTGTTTACAATTATAATTTCTAATTCTTTCTCAGGGAAATTTATTGGCCAAAATTTCTCAGCAGGTAGTCAAGCCGGACATCTTTCAGCAGCCGACCATAAACTTTAGCCTCTGAACATGCACCTGTTCGACGAACTGCATTGTTTAACTTTTTCAACAAAATTCATACATCTATTCCCATATCCTGGGAAAATAATTCTCTTTCTGACAAAAATTTAAAATCGTTTTGTTTTAACCCTTTTCGTCCGTATGCCATGTTAAATATTGTTACAACTGAGAGAACTCAATTTTTTTTATCGACGAGTATTGCATTAGTATCAGTAATAATCACTGTTTATAAACTCACACTTCTTCCCCAGAAGACACACACAAACACACACACACACACACACACACACACACACACACACACACACACACACATACACATATATATATATATATATATATATATATATATATATATATGCACACGCACACACAGAATGCAATGGATAAATTATCACATATTATATTTTCGATTTCGCGCATGAGCATATTTTTTTTAGTATTTGAAAAAAAGCACCATGGTGCAATTCGCACCTCCGGAAATTTAGAAACGTCATGCTGGATTGCTGGATTCGCACTGGAAACACAATATGAACGATTGTTTGGGTGTAAATCTGAGGACAGTGCAGAGTATGCTGTGTCCCCAAAAGATGTACCAAGTATTACAAAAACCAAATATACAGTCGACATTATGGTGGGTGGAATAATCACTAGTGATGGCGACGTTGTGCTACCATTCATCTTCGAACAGAGCTCCAGAATCAACACGGTCATCCGGCCCTGGGTCAAGAGGGTGGCTGCTGGAAGAACATATGTCTGGTAACAGGATTCTGAACCATGCCACACAAGCAGGATAACAGAATCGTAGCTGTCAGACATTTTCTGCGACCACATCACCCCTTACACCTGGCCGCCTAACTCCCCAGACTGCAACACCTTTGATTATTATTTGTAGGGTGCAGTTGAGTGAGAGGCCAATGAAAATCCTTGTATCGCCAAAGATTAACTAAAGGCAAGGATTATTGCAACATTCACCATCTTAATCAAGGACACAGTCGAGAAAAGTTGCAGTAGATTCCGAAGCGGTCTTGAAGCCGTGGTTGAAGCCAATGGCGATTTTATTGAATAAATTTACTTTTTAGTACGTCAAAATATTCTGTACAATTTAATAAATATCTCTGATAACATGAAATGTCAAAGATATTTTCAATTTTGCGTAATCTACAAGACAATATATCTATTGAACACTATACATACTTAATAGGATTGGTGTATACGGAATAAATTCCAATAACCAACAAATACTATTCTTAAAAGAGTGCTCAATACAGAGTAGAGCAAATATAATCATTTATTCGAAAATTATAACATAAAAATGTTATAAAATCACTACAAAAATAGCCATTTTGTTTCAACACTTCTGGTGACTTATCAAGATTCTACATTAAACACCATCATTGATAAGACACCAGAAGTGTTGAAACAAAATGGTTATGTTTGTAGTGACTTTTTATATATTTATATTATAATTTTCGAATAAAAATACACACACACACACACACACACACACACACACACACACACACACATATATATATATATATATATATATATATATATAAGTATAAGATTGGTGTATACGGAATGAATTCCAATAACCAACAAATATTATTCTTAAAAGAGTGCTCAATACAGAGTAGAGCAAATATAATCATTTATTCGAAAATTATAAGATAAAAATGTTACAAAATCACTACAAAAATAAAGCCATTTTGTTTCAAAACTTATGGTGACTTACCATCACTTGATAACACCATCACTTGATAAAACAGCAGATGTGTTGAAATAAAATGGCTATTTTTGTAGTGATTTTATAACATTTTTATGTTATAATTTTCGAATAAATAATTATATATATATATATATATATATATATATATATATATAATGAACAACAGACACTTCAAGGTACCATGACAATAATTTATTTCACCAAAATCCTTTTTAAGGGATTTTGGATCATCAGGTAACACTTCCAACAATGAAATGAGAGGAAAAATATGATTAGAAATTGATGGGCAGTGTAATTTTATATTCACATACAGCCTTGTTTTGTTGCACATCAGTTTGGCTAGATATCCGGTTGCTTTGAGCCGGAATCGAAACATTACCGATTCGGCATCAGTCGGAGATCCTACCTCTAAGCTATTAGCGAACGGCAGAGAGAAGGGGGCATTCCAATGTATTGTCTCTGCCGAAGCACCGATGGCTTGGGTGTAGAAACGCCGACTGGTACCATATCGGTCGGGTTTCGATCTTAGCTTGAAGCATTCGGTCGTTTAGTCGCTCTGATTGGTTGTGAAACAGGCCTGTATGTAAATGACATTATATATATATATATATATATATATAGTAATTGAAAACTAATTCCCTATTTTATGTGCGAGTAGCCAGGGGTTCTGACAACATTCAGTGACTTTTCCTTTAGGGTTGGTTAAAGGAGGAAGTTGCAATAGGTTGAAAGGCGAATACAAGAAATTATGTTTTCCATACCAGAAAAGATCTTGGTGAAATCAGTTGACGCAATTCCTGGGCGAATCAAGAAGCTTATAGCGAAATCTAGTGCCCATATTGAATTAAACCTCATGCTAAACGCTTTCTCTTTTCTTGTACAAATTATAAGTATTTTAAAATGAGCAATTACTTTTCAATCACCTTGTATATCGATAGACAATCAAATAAATATATAATCGAATTTCAGATTTTCCGCAAGGGGAAAAAAATAATTACTCCAAAATCTTCATATATTTCACTATTTTTACGGAAATTTCAATTTACGTTAATCTAACTTAGCATATCATGACCAAAGCATCGTAAGACCTCGACACTAGTTTCTTTATTTTTTTAAAATTTGTAACGCTTCAGTGACAGATTTAGATCGAAGTCACTTGTCACACACCCAAGTGTCAGGTTGAAGGCGCGTATAAGATAATGCGTAAACTTTCTTTGATATTGGAGAGTTTCCTTGAAGTCAAGAGAAGGGGTAAATCTTTTTCTTCCTTCGGTGACAAAAACGCAAAGCAATCCGGACTAAAACCTTTTAGCTAATCCTTTACGTAATCCGCCGAATAATCCACCGAAAGGTAGAAGTTTTTATTCAATCCCTTCGCGATCTACGCGTCGTTTCTGGGTTGAAAAAGAAACCACGGCTTGGAGAATCTCCCCTAAGCCTAGATACAAGCTCATCCGCACACGCGCATGCGCAGATTCTTTTACAAACAAGGACGTGCCTGCACACACACACACACACACATTAACGTGTACATTAGAATCTGCGTTCGGATTCAGCCACACGTATTGGCAGCAACGAATAGAAAGACGTACACATTAACAATTTTATTTGCTAACTTGTAGCAAAACGCAATGGGAAATATATCTACTTATTTTCTATGACGCAATGGTTAGAAAGCTCATATGGAATTCAAATTATCTAGTGTAGTGTGTTCGATCTTCACTGGGTGCTATACTACGCAAGGCTAAGCTTACTAAATAATCATATTTCTCTTTCTTTATATGTTTTTGTCTGTTTCATACTCTCTCCCCCTATCTCGCTCTCTCTCAGGATCCGCAAAATGGCATAAGACGGACCAAGTAAGGATCAACCCTATTCCTAACTCTCAAGTTTGTCATTTGGTAAGATGTTGATATGTGGGTCGAACTGAAGACATTTCAACACT